GCCAGGTTCTAGCAGAACCCAGATGTGTTCTTCCTCCTAAATGTCATGTGTCTATCTGCTGTACTGATGAAGTTCTGAGGCTCAGAAATGATGGAAAAAGTCCATTAAAGTGATCAATCTGGACCCTCCTCTGTGGACTTGAAGGACCTGGACCTCTGGAACATTCACAGTCTGAAGGCAGAACTCTGGTCAGTAGATGAAGGTGCTGCAGCTACGGAACCAGCTGTTCTGAGGAGGTTCTGGGGGGAACTTTGGTTGATTTATATATCGAACGAACCAGAACAAAGCTTTCGTTTCAAAGCGACATCAGTTTAAACGTCGTGTGGAGCAGCTGCTGCGTTTCACGATCCGTCAGACAAACAGAACTCAGAAGAACTCGCAGCGTGTTTGCTTCCAGTCACATTCATCAGCGTGTCACGGCTTCAAGGATGCAACAAAACAAACAGCTTCCTGGTAACAGTCACAGCATAGTTTGACTCTAAACACGCTTTGTTTGTGTTTTCGTTCCAAAGAACAGAGTCGGTCGTTCTTAGGAAAGATAAGGACCCCAGAAATACCAGAGAGCGTGACTGCCGATGAGCTGACCTCATTTGATTATGTGAAAGGTGACACCAGGAGATAAATGCGACTCCTCCGCCCGCCGGTCTGTGTTTCCTCCCGTTGTGTCGTTTGGAGACATCAGCAGATAAACTCCTCATCTGGACAGTTTGAAACACGTCGGCGGACTTCTGAGGAACACATCACGCGTGCGTTCGTGGTGCAACGTTTGCCAAAATAACCACCGTGTCGCTTCGCTTCTTTGCTCGTCGTTCAGCGCGAGTGCCTCTGATGTGTCACGTCATCGGAGACTTTCCTTCATCTTCATCCTGCACAGATCCAGTTTTTTTGTCTCCTCTGACACATCATGAAGCAACATGATGCCAGAATATCAGTTTCTGGACTCAGAATGCTGCAGAAACAGACGGCTGATGACTCAATGGAAGAATCTGATCTTTTGGGTTTAGACCGTGAGTCAGGTGGTAAAATTTGCTTGAATAAAACTGCAGCATGACTGAAGTATTCTACTGTGTGAAATATATCAACGTCTGTATTATTCCAGGTTTCAGGTAACATTAAAACGCCGTACTTTCTAAACTAATTTTGGGTGTAGTAACATCTACGGATGCTTGTGAGGCATTTGGGGAACGTCTGTCAATTTCAGCTTCAGAAGAAAAAACATCTAAACTGCACATAAACTCTCACCTTGTAGAAAACACTTGGGCTTCACAGAAGATCCCACCGAATGCGTTTAATGCAAAGAATGCAGAACTGAAACGTTATAAAAACGCCAAAAAGACTCAAAGAAACTCGTTCAGATGTCGGTGGGACGGCTCCTCTCCAGAAATGACGACTAAATCAATAACAGAGCCAAAAAAAGAAAAAAAAAGAGCCAAATTTTACTCCCTTTTGCTTCCACATCGTCCTGACTTTGGCACACAAAGTGTTAAAAATGACCGATGTGGGCAGAAACGGACAAAAAACAATAACGGTGCAAAAAGAGCAACGAGTTAAACATGTGCAGTCGTCCTGCAGAGTGTTCACAGCCTCCCACTAAAGAAGGAAAAACAGCTTCAGTCACTGGAATAAAAGTAATAATTAATAAAAAGTTAATGAACATCATGACGCTGCTTTTGAATTGTGGTTCAACAGAAACATAAAAAAACAAACACAAACCAGCCTGATGGACCTGGTGAACTAACATGTAGCTGAACAACCCTCTGAGCCAATCACTGCCATCAGGTGTTTCTGTAACTCTCAGTCAGACTTGTGCACCTGTTGACAGGTATTCTGGACCACTGCTCATCAGCAAAGGCCTCTCATTGGTCCACTGCTCATCAGCAAAGGCCTCTCATTGGTCCACTGCTCATCAGCAAAGGCCTCTCATTGGTCCACCACAGTTTCGTTTTTTAAAAATTATTCTTTTCAACCACAATTCAAAAGCAACGTCTTATTTCACTAAGTTATAATTTAGCAAATTTTTATGTATCATTACTTTTTTCTAGTTATTTCAGTGATTATTGTGGATTTTGCTTTTTCTTTTATGGAAGAAAAATACATCTGAGGACGGCTGCAGGTGCCTCGATGCAACCAGCGTAAAAACTCCGTCTGGAGTCTTGTTTCTTTCAAAAATAACCTGTATGCTGTTTGTTTTTCCCCCCCAAGTATTGGCAGTTCCTTCAGTCTCACGTTGAATCCGGTCAAACCCACTTTCACTCAGATTGTTTCGTCTTTGGTCCTTCGACATGAGTCTCACCGCTGAACTCCGACACTCTGACTGTGTTGAGTCTTGTGATGTTTTTTTTTTTTTAGCTTGTACACTTAATGTTAAACATGTACAGATATTAACAGCTGTTTTTGTGGTTATTATTTTTATGTTGTTATTACTGGAAGCTGGCGTCTCGTTAAAGGTGCGCGTTAGTCGAGAGAACTTGTACCGCTTCCAGTTCGCTTCCATTCCAGCGCTGACAAGCAGCCAGATGCCGTTAAAGTTCAAACGCTCTCCAGTTCCACGGAAAAGCGTCGAGAAAATCAAGTCTGAGTGCCAGATATTGGCTGGTTGTTTACCTACTTGTTGTGTTTCTTCCTGTTGGCATCAGGTGGACGACTACCACGGGACCAAGATCTGCGACCCCTACCATTGGCTGGAGGACCCCGACGGTGCAGAAACCATGGTACGTGGGGGTTCCCGGTGGAAAGCTGCAGGTTTTTCTTCACCAGGAGCTTCTAAACGTTGTCTCCTTCTGTTGCTCAGGCTTTTGTCGAAGCGCAGAACAACCTGACCATGCCCTACCTGGAGAAGTGCGCCGTCCGGCCTCAGTTCCACCAGCGACTCACCGAGCTCTACGACTATCCCAAATACAGCTGCCCTTACAAAAGAGGAAAGAGGTACCAGAGGAGGCTCTAATGGGATTTAAAATTAAGTTCTTCTACTCAAATCTGCTCCAAGTCATTAAATGTTTAGTATCTGCCAACACCGAGCCCCAACCTGGTACCGTTCTCTACCAGTACACACTTGAAGTGCATTCAGTGAAGTCAGTCCAGTGCATTGGCTTGAAAGCTGAATATTTCTGAAGAAACAGCTGCATCCAGTCTGTTCCTCGATGTTCCTTGATGTCAGGAACCTCTGTGGCTCCATAAGCGCCAGAACGTGGAGAAAACCTGGGTTGTGTTCCAAATTGCATACCGTAATGTCTGGACTATAGAGGCACCTGAATATAAGCTCCACACACTGACTCTAAACAGGAAACCAGGTGTGTTCATATCCAGGCTGCTCTGGTCTCTAAGCTGCAGGTGTCCACGTTGGAACATGAGATATTTACACAGAAAGATGTTTTAACCTTTAATTAAATGCGTAGTGGTAACATCCACAGATACGTACCGTAGAGGCTTTTT